TTCTTGATTTCCCTGGGTTTGAGTAAATTTTGTGTGACTGTTTGTTGTTGTTGCTGTTGTTGTTGTTGTTTTTGCCTCCTTCTCAGTAAACCCAGCGGCCCCATGGAAAGAGGAAACCAAACAGAAGTTGGAAACTTTCTCCTCCTGGGATTCGCAGAGGACTCTGACATGCAGCTTCTTCTCTATGGGCTGTTCCTCTCCGTGTACCTGGTCACCATCACCGGAAACCTGCTCATCATCCTGACCATCAGCTCAGACTCCCACCTCCACACCCCCATGTACTTCTTCCTCTCCAACCTGTCCTTTGCTGACATCTGTTTCACGTCCACGACTGTCCCAAAGATGCTAGTGACTATCCAAACACAAAGCAAAATGATCACTTTTGCAGGCTGCCTCACCCAGATATTTTTTTTCACTGCATTTGGATGCCTGGACAACTTGCTCCTGACCGTGATGGCCTATGACCGCTTCGTGGCCATCTGTCACCCCCTGCACTACCTGGTCATCATGAACCCCCGGCTCTGTGGGCTGCTGGTTCTGGGGTCCTGGTGCATCAGTGTCATGGGTTCCCTGCTCGAGACCTTGACCATTTTGAGGCTGTCCTTCTGCACAAACATGGAAATTCCACACTTTTTTTGTGATCCTTCCGAAGTCTTGAAGCTCTCCTGTTCTGACACCTTCATCAATAACATCGTGATGTATTTTATGACCGTTGTCCTGGGTGTTTTCCCTCTCTCTGGAATCCTGTTCTCTTATTCTCAGATTTTCTCCTCCATCCTGAGAGTATCATCTGCCAGAGGCCTGCACAAAGCCTTTTCTACCTGTGGTTCCCACCTCTCAATGGTCAGCTTGTTCTATGGCACAGGCCTTGGGGTCTATCTCAGTTCTGCAGCTACACCATCTTCTAGGAGAAGTCTGATGGCCTCGGTGATGTACAGCATGGTCACCCCCATGCTGAACCCCTTCATCTACAGCCTGAGGAACAGGGACATGAAGGGGTCACTGGGGAGACTCCTCCTCAGGGCAACGTCTCTCAATGAGGGAACCATTGCCAAGCTCTCATGAATTGCAGTGAACACAATACTGAGGCCAGACTGGCCTCTTTCAACCAATATTTTCACTTCTGCTTTTATGCATTTTTTTTTTTTTTTTTTGGTGACAGAGTCTTGCTCTGTCGCCCAGGCTGGAGTGCAATGGCGTGATCTCGGCTCACTGCAACCTCCCCCTCCCAGGTTTAAGTGATTCCGCAGCCTCAGCCTCCTTAGTAGCTGGGATTACAGGCATGTGCCACAATGCCCAGCTAATTTTTTGTATTTTTAGTAGAGACGGGGTGTCACCATGTTGGCCAGGCTGGTCTCGAACTCCTGACCTCATGATCCACCCGCTTCGGCCTCCCAAAGTGCTGGGATTACAGGCATGAGCCACAGCGCCCAGCTGCTTTTTTTTTTTTTTTTTTTCTTAGAAGGAGTCTCACTCTGTCACCCAAGCTACAGTGCAATGGTGCAATCTCGGCTCACCACAATCGCCACTTCCCAGGTTCAAGTGATTCTTCTGCATCAGCCTCCCGAGTAGCTGGGATTACAGGCACTCACCACCACGTCCGGCTAATTTTTGTACTTTTAGTAGAGATGGGGTTTCACCATGTTGGTCAGGCTGGTCTCGAACTCCTGACCTCAGGTAATCTGCCCGCCTTGGCCTCCCAAAGTGCTGGGATTACAGGCAATGAGCCACCGGACCCTGGCTTCTTATACATTTTAAAGCATCTCTTCCCTTGTATCTTCCTTTGGAACGTTTCCTGCCCTTGCTACTGCTAACAAAGTTATATAGGATTACACTTTTTGACTTTCTAACCAGTAATTTTAACTTTGCATGAATACAACCTGGTGTTTTCTCAGTTATCTTTAGTAATGATTTGGATTTTGTTTTTTGTTTTTGTTTTTGAGACAGAGTCTCCCTCTGTTGCCCTGGCTGGAGTGCAGTGGCACCATCTCGGCTCACTGCAAGCTCCACCTCCCGGGCTGAAGCAATTCCCCTGACTCAGCCTCCTGAAGAGATGGAACTACAGGCATGCACCACCACACCCTGCTAGTATTTTCAGTAGACACAGGGTTTCACCATGTTGGCTAGGCTGATCTCAAACTCCTGACCTCAAGCGATCTGCCTGCCTCAGCCTCCTGAAGTGCTGAGATTACAGGCATGAGCCACCGCGCCCGGCCTGATTTGAGTTAAAAATATATATATCAAATCTTACATGTTAAATATATACCATCAGAAGCGATGAGATATGTCCCTATTTTGGACATGTTGCCCTGGAAACTCATTTACAGAGATGTTTTTTGAGGTTACATGAATAAAAATAACTCAAAGAGTTGCCCCCTTTTTTTATCCAATTCACTTTCCTTTCAGGCACACGAACTTTACTTCACTTCTACTCTTTCACAATATCGGTCCCTTGAATTTCACAGCAATGTCTTACCCATTTTTGCAATCACAATGCCTGGTACAGTTATTGGTAAGGAGTTCATGTTTACATGATATTTGTCAAATGGAGTAGAAAAATAGATGGGCGGATGGTTAAATAGAAAATAAGATCTGGACCAGAAAAATACAAACTGATTAATCTGATTAGAGCTTTTGGCCGGCATGGGGCTGCATGCCTGTAGTTTCAGCTACTCAGGAAGCTGAGGTGGGAGGATGGCTTGAACCCAGGAGGCTGAGGTTGCAGTGAGCTGTGATTATACCACTGTACTGCAGCCTGGGTGACAGAGTGAGACCCTGTTTCTAAATAATAATAATAATAATAATAAATTAAGTTGTTGAGCTAGAAACAAAATTCAAGGTTATTGATGTTGATATTAATCACACTTTCTATACCAGCACAGTTTAAGAGCTTTATGTACATTACCTCATTTAATGTTTCCAATAACTCTTTTATGTGATTAGTATTAGTTCTCATATTTACAAATAAGAAAGTAAGAGCTTATGGTAAGTAGGTAACTAGCTCAAAGTAATAAATGTAGTGACAAGGTTCCAACTCAGGGCTGTAGGAATCAGACGGCTCTCCCAGGCCTTATGTTACGTTACTGTGGAGTCCTAATTAGGGAAAAGGAGTCAGGCTGGTGAGACCAAGGGAAAGCAAAAAGAAGAAGCAGATAGAAGTCTGCCTTTCTTCACGGTCCCGAACACAAAGCCCTCCTGTACAAATAACTCACAATCTTCCTGCACTCAGCTATCGCCAGACCCTCGGCTGATACAAAAATTGGAAGTTAGCTCACTGCAACCTTGGCGTGATCAATACTGTACAAAGCCCTCTTCAGCACACAGCACAAGCACTGTCTTATAAAATCCCCAGCAAGCTTTTGTCTCTTTGCAGTCAGCTCTTCTATTGCTGGCCTGCCCATTGCTTCCTTGCAACGCATTTTCACACTTTCTCCAATAAATCTGCCTTTCTTTACCTACAACTACACGTGTTGGCAAATTCTTCTTATCCTCCATACCACCAGCCCCAGACAGTCGCCACTCACCCATGACAGCTACCTCTAGCCAAACCTTCTAATAATAATAGTTAAACCTCAAAGGAACCAGGAATTCTCTGACATAAATTCTTACTTCTGGAATTACGCTCCCCAACCAAGAACTGTGTTTGGGTGCTGCAGCCTCAGAAATAAATTAAACCCGTGAGTAAGATTTATTGTTTCCTTTGATATTTTAATTTGACTTCCTTTGATTGTTCATGAAAATGAGCGTGCTCGATCTTTTTGTGTTTGATGTTTTTATAGTAACTCTCTTTTCCAGCTTTACTGAGGTATAATTGACGAATAGACATTGTACACATTCAAGGTGTATGACATGATTTGATACATGTATACATTGTATAGTGATTTACTTGCATTTATTTTTACTAGATTTTGAGTTTACCTCCTTTGATCATTTATAATCTTAGATTTTTTAAAATTCTAGTTGACTGAGTTTTTAAATTTTTATTCTTAATCTTTATGGATACATAATAGTTGTACAAATTTATGGAGTACGTACAAAACTTTTCCACAAACATACAATGTATAATAATCAAATCAAGGTAATTGGGGTATCTATCGCTTCAAGCATTTATCATTTCTTTGTGTTATAAACATTCCAATTCCACTTTTTTAGTTATTTTGAAATATACAACAAATTATTGTTAACTATAGTCACCCTACTGTGCTACCAAATACTAGATTTTATTCCTTCTAACTGTATTTTTGTATCCGTTAACTATCCCTTCTTTATCCTTCCTCCCTACTACCCTTCCTAGCTTCTGGTAACCATCATTCTACTCTGTTTCCATGAGTTCAGTTTTTTCAGCTCCCACATACAAGTGAGAACATGTAATGTGTTTTTCTGTGTCTGGCGTATTTTTTTGTTGTTGTTTTGTTTCTGTGTTTTTGAGACAGACTTTCACTCTTGACACCCAGGTTGGAGTGCAATGGTGCGATCTCGGCTCACTGCAACCTCCACCTCCCGGGTTCAAGCCATTCTTCCTGCCTCAGCCCCCCGAGTAGCTGGGATTACAGGTAGCCACCACCACGCCCAGCTAATTTTTGTATTTTTCAGAGAGACGGGGTTTCACTATGTTGGCCAGGCTGGTCTTGAACTCCTGAACTCAGGTGATCTGCCCGCCTCAGCCTCCCAAAGTGCTGGGATTACAGGCATAAGCCACCGTGTCCGTCCCTGAATTCTATGAGCCTTTCCAGTGAATTGCTGAACCTAAAGGTGGTCTTGGGGGACCCCTGACACAGAGACCATGGCTATTGTTTTATTAGGAGAAATAATGGTTTTTCTTTACCCTCTTCAGTTCCGCCACTCTTTGAGACTATAAGAAACATGAGTTGACCCCTCTTCTTGTTGAAGCTGAAGCTTCCCTTCTCCCCAAACCTAGGAGAAATGTTTCTTTCCCTCCCTTGCTCACGCTGTCCTTCAAGCCCTCAGCATGTGCTCAGAGAGAAACAGAGACCTTGTACACCTTTCATTCCTGCTCCTTTATTACACTTTTCCCTCCCCCTTAAACGAGTCAAGCAGAACATGTGTGTTCAGCCCACGGTCAGCTGGGCGGCAGATGTGTCCCCAGGACTCCCCTCCCCAGGCCCCTTCCCTCCTCTCTTGGGGGGTGGAGCTGGAGGCCCCTCACATAGCACTCTCATTGCCTCCCCGTCCCCGGGATGCCCCCTTCTCCTGTGCCATGAGGGACTTGTAGGGTTTCCCCAGGCTGGGGAGGGTGAGCTCAGCTTCCTGAAGCTCCAGCTCCCGCTGAGACAAGTGCTCGATGACGGCTGCTCCAATTGAGTCTCCCAGTACATTGGTCATTGTGCGAAGCCGGTCACTGGTACGGGGGAAAAAGAAGCTGCCATTAATGAGGGCTTGAAAAGCTTCACAGAAAGAGGGTGCTGCAGAAGGGGGGGTCCCTGTGCCAGGGAGTCAGGGGGTTCCCATTCCAGAACAATCCATGACCACAGGTCCCCAAGTAGGTTCTTCCCCCCTCTCTGTCCTGTTTCTCCTCCTAACAAACAGGATGGACCAGCTCTGAGATGTTCATGTTTGATCTTAGATGTGATTTTTTTTAAAAAAAATGAGGCCGGGTGTGGTAAAAAAAAAAAAAAAAAAAAAAGCCATATCATTAAAAAGATATGATCCCAGCACTTTGGGAAGCTGAGAGGCAGGAGAATTGCTTGAGACCAGGAGTTCAAGACCAGCCTGGGCAACAAACCAAGATCCCATCTCTACAATAGAATAATTTTAAAACATGGCCTGGGACGGTGGCACGTGCCTGTAGTCCCAGCTACTTGGGAGGCTGAGATGGGAGGGTCACTTGAGCCCAGGAGGTCGAGGCTGCAGTGAGCTATGATCATGCCACTGCACTCCAGCCTAGATGAGAGAACAAGACCTTGTCTCTCAAAAAAAAGAAAATGAGGCTGGGCATGGTGGCTCATGTCTGTAATCCCAGCACGAGGTGGGCGGATCATGAGGTCAGGAGTTTGAGACCAGCCTGACCAACATAGTGAAACCCTGTCTCTACTAAAAATATTTAAAAAAAAAAAAAGGCAGGCAGGCATGGTGGCATGCGCCTGTAACCCCAGCTACTTGGGAGGCTGAGGCAGGAAAATCGCTTGAACCTGGGAGGCAGAGGTTGCAGTAAGCTGAGATCGAGCCACTGCACTCCAGCTTCAGTGACAGAGCGAGACTCTGTCTCAAAAAGAAAAAAGAAAAGAAAAGAAAAAATGCACATCCGATACAGACAATTAAGGGTTATGAAGTGAAAAGCACATCGAATCAGGAATGGTAAACCAGGGCAGGCCTGAGTCAATGCAGGTGTAGACTAGGGCAGGCTGAAGATTGTAAAATTGGAACTCAGGCTCAGCTGTCAGCTCCCATGTGGGAATGAAAGTCCAGGCTTCCTTTAATGTAAACCTCCTGGTTTCGTTGTTGTTGCTGGTTTTGATTTTTGTTTTTTGAGATGGTGTTTCGCTCCTGTTGCCCAGGCTGGAGTGCAGTGGTGCGATCTCGGCTCACTGCAACCTCCACCTCCCAGGTTCAAGGAATTCTCCTGCCTCAGCCTCCTGAGCAGCTGGAATTACAGGCACATGCCACCACACTCGGCTAATTTTTTTTTTCTTTTTTTTTTGTATTTTTAGTAGAGACAGGGTTTCACCATGTTGTCCAGGCTGGTCTCAAACTCCTGACCTCAGGTGATCCACCCGCCTCAGCCTCCCAAAGTGCTGGGATTACAAGCATGAGCCACCACACCCGGCCTGGATCACCTTTTCGTGACTTCCACATACAACAGGTAAAAGAGGAGTTTTTCCCACTGATAGGTAAAGCCCCCATTGCTTGTCTCCAACCCTACTTCCCAAAGATAACTCTGTGGGATTTGGGATCCAGAGGCCATGGATTGGAGGCCTCTCCAAGGCCTCCTTTTCACTCGAAAATTCTGGACCACTTCATCTTTGCTGGAATGAAAGTCCACAGGTTAAGGATGTCGCGGGGGAAAGCAGTATGTGCAGAAGCAGGAGCACCAGGGTCCAGCCTGGAGAACACTCACAGGAACCAGTCCACGGCGATGATGAGCGTGATGTCCTCCGTGGGCAAGCCGACCGACGTGAGCACAATGACCATGGTGACCAGACCCGCCTGCGGGATGCCAGCAGCCCCAACACTGGCCGCTGTGGCTGTGATGCTGCAGGGGGAGGGAGAACATGGGGAGGCAGGTGGAGGGAAGAAGGCAATGAGGAAGAGACAGGAAAAGGACAGAGAGAAGGGAAGAGATCCGCTCTCCAAGGCATCTTAAATTAAACGCCCAAGCCAGACAGATACAGAGAGAAAAATACTGCTTGAT